CTAAGTGTTGGTGGTGGAGGGAGTGAATGTTTGTGGATGTGGTGCCAATCAAGTGGGCTGCTTTGTTGAGCTTGTTTTGTTGGAGCTGCACCTGTCCAGGCAAGTGGGGAATATTCCATCAAACGCCTGACTTGTGTCTTAATGTGGAGAGATTCAGAAGCTCAGGTTGTCTTTACCCTTCTCAATGATGAAAAGTCTGCCGAGTGACTACCTCTCCTGGAATTTGCCGGTCTGTTCAGTTGTTGAGGCATTTGCACCAAGTCCTTGGAGGTGGAACAGTTGTTGCCCTGTAAATTTGATGTTTCAGTTCCATATGCATTCATTACATTGCTTCCTCTCCATGTCCTGCTCTGACAGGTGCAACAGTATCCCACAACATGAGCAGACGGTTGTTGCATCTTTCCTCGTCCTCTGCCCCACCCAACAGCATTCTGACAGTATTACCCTAATACATAACTCCCCCAATTTGGATAGTTTTCCCAACGCACATTTATCCCTTAACCTCTTCAACCCCCACTCCCCGCCATTCCCACGGGGAGTTGATCACTTGACTAACTGATGCATTCTTTTTAACATTCAGCCAGTGAAGGAAAGAGAAGATCATCATTAACCTAGCACCCCCCACCCCCGACCACAAACACTCTCCCATGCTGGTTCTGAGTGGTGGTGAGGGAGCCATCTTTCACAAAGAACCTTCTTCAACAAGACCATGCCTGTCATCAGGAGAATATATAAATCTTGTGTATTATTTACAGAAGAGGGTATTTTTCTTCTGTATGTCTTGGGGCTGACATGTTCCTGTTAACTTGTGCTTTAGTGACATTGGTTATCTAATGGTTGCCCCTCTCTGCTCTCGTGCTATTAATTAGGATATTTGAAGACTACAATTTTAGTTTGTTTACAACATAAGTAATTTCTCTCAGATTTTCTCTCTCTCTTTCTCCCTCTTGGTGGATCACTGTCTTCCTTCACAGTTGCATTCAATATATTTCCAATTCAGGATGGTGAATGGCTTGCAGGGGAACTTGCAGCTGGTATTTCTAATATGCTATCCTTGCTGTTCCAGACGGAAGTGATCGTGGGTTTGTCTGAGGATCTTTAGTGAATTTCTGCAGTGAATCTTGTAGATAACTGCTGCTACTGACTGTCGGTGGTAGAGGGAGTGGATATTTGTGGATGTAGTGGCAGTCAAGCGTGCTGCTTTGTCCTGGATGGTTGAAAGCTTCTTGCGTTGTTGGGGCTGCAATCATTCAGGCAAGTGGGGACTATTCCATCACACTCCTTACTTGTGCCTTGTACATGGTGGACAGGCTTTGAGGAGTCAGGAGGAGAATGACTCCCTGTGGTACTCCTAGCTTCTGACATGCTCTTGCATTGTGTTTATGTGGTGAGTGCAGTTGAGTTTTCTCGTCAATGATGACACTCAGGACGTTGATAGTGAGAATTCAGTGATGGTAACACTGTCGAATGCCAAGGGGCAGTGGTTAGATTGTCTCTTATTGGTGATGGTTGTATTGTGTGACGCAAATGTTATTTGCACTTGTTGGCCCAAGCCAGTTCTTGTTGCATTTGAACAAGAACTGCTTGAGTATCTGAGGAGCTGCGAATGGTTCTGAACATTGTGCAATCATCAGTGAACATCCCCTCACTGTAAAGGGTTCAGAATTGAGGGTATGCCACATAATTAGACATTCAGTACTGAGGGGGTGCCTCATTGTCAGAGGGCCAACATTGAGGCAGTGCCACATCCTACAGGGGTTAGAATGGAAGGAGTGCCATTTGAATACAGAACACGTGCTGAGGTATTGCAACACTTAGAGAAGGTCGATCTGAGGGAATGCTTTATTGACAGAGGGTCAGTCTTGAGGTATTGAAGCACAGTCAGATGTTCATTACTGAGGGAGCCCCTCATTGCCAGAGGGTTAATACTGAGTCAGTTCCTCAATCTTATGCGGTCAGAATTGAGGGAGTGTGAAATGATTAAAGGGTCAGGACCAACAATACAGGACTGTCAGTGAGTCAGATCTTTAGGAGTTTGAGGGTCAGTACGGAGGCAGTGCCTCATTGCGTAGGTGTTGGAATTGAGGGAGTGCCAACTGATTAGAGAGTGAGTCCAGAGGTATTGTGTCACGGTCCATGGGTTAGAACTGAGGGAGTGCCACATATTAAGAGGGTTGGTGCTG